AGAGAGAGAGAGAAAGAAACAGAGATGTAGAGAGAGAGGGAGATAAAAAGAGAAAAACAGAAAAAGAGACTGGTTATATGTGTGGGTCCAAGAGGTACATCTTGAGCTTTTTGGGCAACTGTGAAGGCAAGATGCCTGTAGGTGGTGCAGAGACATCCCAGTTATTGGTGGAGGAAAAAGCAGTAGCCATGTTTTGCTTTTGTTTTTGTTTTTCTTCTTTTCTTCATTACTTTTTTATTTGCCCCTGTTGTTTGCTGGTTACTTGTTTTCCCTCTCTCTTGTGGGAATGTTTCCTGTTCTTAGCTCACCCCACAGGAGACCACCCATACAACCATCCACAGTCATACCCTCTACAGGAAAAAGACAAACAACCCAATTTAAAATGGTACAGGACATGAACAGACACTTCACCAAGGAAGACATCCAGGCAGCCAACAAATACATGAAGAAACATCCACTACCATTAGCCATTGTATTTGTTGTTAAGTTTCAGCAAATCAGTTCCTACTCATAATGACCCTGTATAGGGTTTCTGAGGAGCTGCTGTTGAGTGTGAATGCCAACCTTGTGGTTCTAACTGACCTTGGGGTCCAGTGCTTATCCTACAGTGCCCATCAGTATTACATTCTGCCTACAGAATCCTTCAATACCACAAGTCAAGTCTTCAATTTTTCTTCAGTTCTCTCAGTTTGAAAAATGTTGAGTGTATTATGTCTTTTGGTATTCTAATTCTAGGTCTTTGTACATTACATTATAATACTTGATTGTCTTCTGTAGTTGCCTTTGAAAAATACTTTCCCAAATTTTTCCTAATTTTGGTCAGGATTCTTCAACAGAATCTTTTGGTAATTGTATCTGGGCACTATCAAGTTTTTGGGTCTCATGGCAAAGTTCATGGAGGCAGTTAACCACACATTCCATTTTATCCTCCTATTCACAACTATTTTTCTTCCTCTCATGCTCAGGTAAGCAGAGGCAAGTTGTTGTACCTCATATGGGTAATGGCAAGCTTTTAAGACTCTTGGCGCTACAAAATTAAGTAAGAGATAGAACAGAAGCACTAGAAACAACATTAGGCAATTGTCTATTTTAGTCATCTCTATTTCCTAAATGCTTTGCAAATTACTGGGATATGGTAGACATTTAATTAGTATTGAATAAGTTGAGTCATTACATTTATTATAAAATAATATGCATTATCCCCATTAGGGTAGTGCGGTGGCTATGTACAATAAGCATTGGACAGCCAACCATTAGGTCAGCGATTCGAGCTCAAGAGCCATTCCATGGGAAAAGATGAGGCTTTCTGCTCTCACAAAGATGTACAGTCTTGGAAACCCTATACATTGTCACTATGAGTAGGAGCTAGCTCGATGGAACTTAACAACAGAAAAATCCCCATTAGTATTTTTAAATTACATTAAGATAAAAAAATGTATCTTATGAAATAGATAATGTCATGATAAATAGAGAAAACACTGAAATTGTCAAAGACTTCATTTTGCTTGGATCCACTATCAACATTCATGGAAGCAGCAGTCAAGAAATCAAACAATGTATTGCATTAGCCATGGTATTTTCAATTGCCTCCTATTGAAAGTTATACAATGAGTAAGGAAAATGGAATTGATGCATTTGATTTATGTTATTGGAGAAGAATATTAAAAATACCATGGTTTGCCAAAAGAATAAACAAATCTGTGTTGGAAGTACAGCCAAAATGTTCCTTAGAAGCCAGGTTGGTGAGATTTCATCTCTTATACTTTGGACAAATTATCAGGTGGGACCAGTTCCCAGAGAAGAACATCATGCTTGGTAAAGCAGAGGATCAGCAAAAAAGAGGGACAGCAATGAGATAGATTGGCACAGTGACAGTAGCAACAGGCTCAAGTATAACAACAGTTGTGGGGTGGTGCAGGCCCGGGCAGTGCTTCCTTCTGCAGTGCATATGGTCATCATAAGTCAGAATTGACTGAACAGGACCTAACAACAACAACATGAAGTAGTTTGGTAAATTATCCATCTCCAATGGCACTAGGAAGTCTGGATTTAACAAGACATTGCAGTTATGTTCCACATTGTTCCAAAGTTTGGTCAGGATTATTCTCAAGAGTGTTTGATCAAAACTTTCAGTAAAGACAGTTGGGCACAAACCACTTTTGCTGATCTCATAGTTCATGGAGGCAGTTAGCAACACATTCCATTTTCTGTGTTACTCAGACCAATTGTTGTACGTTGTATGGGTACTTACAAGCTTTTAAGACCCCTAGTACTATAAAATTAGCTAGGTGATAGAACAGAAGCAATAGGAACAATATTATAAAATTATTTGGGGTCGTCCATAACACCACAAAGGAGCTCTGGTAGCATGGTGGTTACAAATTGGGCTGCTAACCTCAGGGTCAGCAGTTCAAAACTACTAGCTGTTCCATGGGAAAAAGATGAGGCTTTTTGTTCCCATAAGCCTCGGAAACCCTGTATAGGGTTGCTATGAGTTGGAACCGACTCCATGGCACATGTATGTATAACACCATAACCTTAAACCTTCAAGTTTAGAAAATAAGTCTCTGAAGTGTTTGGTTTATGAGTGTTTAGTAAAAAAATAACATCATAAAATCATAGAAACCTTTATTAAAGAAAGTTATCAAAATCAGAAGCCATTCTTCTGAACATATCCTTCATCTAGGCCTATGTATTTGGAAGGCTTTCCATCTCCCTAATTCTTGGTCCCACCACTCATCTGTCAGTTCACCTTATTGTGATGGCTGTGTGGTACTGTGATACTGGAAGCTATGTCAGCCATGGTGCATAGGTTTCAGCATAGCTTCCAGACAAAGATAGACTAGGAAGAAGGAGAGGCAGACCACTTCTGAATGGTTAGCCACTGAAAATCTTATGGACAGCAGGGTAATCTTGTCTGATAGAGTTCTGGAAGATGAGCTTCTCAGGTTGGAAGGCATTCAAAATATGACTAGCATAGTGCTACGTCCTCAAAGTACAGTTAATCTTAATGCTTTGGAAAGAGTTAAGCTTCAGGGGCCTATATCTGCTGTTGGGAGTCCTAGTTGATGTTATAAGATAAAGCACTGGACCTCAAGGTCAGCACGTACCACAAGGTCGGAGGTACAAACCCATCAGTCACTCCTCGGAAAGCCTATACAGGGTTGCTATGAGCTGGAACTGACTCGACAGCACTTAACAACAACAACAATAATTTGCTATTGTGGCACAGCTTAAAATGAGAACAACTGCAACCATCCATTAATAATCATGATATGGAATGTATGAAGTATGAACCCAGGAAAATTAGAAATAAAAAATGAAATGGAACACATATAGATTGATATTCTACATATTAGTGAGCTGAAAGGCTCATTTTCAATCAGACATTGGGAACAACAAATTGAAGAGGAAAGGCAATTGCATGTTTCCCAAAAACAATATTTCAAGGTATCTTGAAGAGCAATGCTGTCTGTGATAGGATAATATCCAAACAAGGAAAGCCAGTTAACACTATTACTATATAAATGCATGCACCAATCACTAAAACCATAGATGCTGAAATTGAAGAATTCTGCCAACTTCTTCAGTCAGCAATTGACCAAACATTCAATCAAGGTCCATCAAGAATTACTGGCGATTAAAATGTGAAAGTTGGAAACAAAGAGGAAGGATCAGTAGTTGGAAAATAAGGCTTTCTTGGCCTTTTTCTTCCCAATGAAATTTTCAAATGTCTTTAAATTCCTTCATACTAAGGGCCTGTGATTGTCCTTTGTGAAAATTTATAAAGATTATTGTTCTTGATATTAGGACTCAATTCTGTCTCAGAGAGACCCAGCATACAACAAAAGAACACTACCTGGCCCTGCATCAGCCTCACAATTGTTAAGTTTGTTGTAGCCACTGTATCAATCTCATTGAGGGACTTCTTTTTCACTCTTATTTAATAAGTGTGATGTCCTTTTTCAGGGATTGGTCCTTCCTGGTAACATGTTCAAAGTATATGAAATGAAGTCTCACCATCTTCTCTTCTAAAAAGCATCCTGGCTGTATTTATTCAAAGACAGATTTACTTGTTCTTCTGACAGACAATCCATGTAATTTCAATATTCTGCACCAACACCATAATTTAAATGCATCGTTCTTCTCTGGCCTCCCTTATTCATTTTTTAACTTTCACATCCATATGAGACGATTGAAGATACCAGTCTTGGGTCAGGCATGCCTTAGTCCTCAAAATGCCACCTTTGCTCTTTAACATTTTAAACAATCTTTTGCAGGAGATCTTTTGCCAGTGCAATAAATGGTTTGATTCTTGATTGCTGCTTCAGTGAACTTTCACTGTGGGTCTAAGAAAAATGAAATACTTGATAACTTCAATCTTTTGTGCACTTATCATGATGCTGTTTATTGGTCCAGTTGCCAGGATTTTTATTGACTTTGCATTGAATCTTATCCATAGTGAAGGCTGTGTTCTTTGATTTTAATCAGTAGTACTTCAAACCTTCTTTGCTTTCAGCAAGTAAGGCTATATCATCTGCATATCACTGGTTGTTAATGAGTCTTTATCATATAAACTTCCCAGATTGAATGAATATCATCAAAGAATAGAACCCTAACAACACCTATTCTGATTTAAAATCATTCAATAACCTTTTGTTCTGTTCAAACAACTGCCTTTTAATCTATGTGCAGGTTTAGCATGAGCACAATTAAATGTTCTGGAATTCCCATTCTTCTCAATGCTATCCTCGGTTTGTGATGATTCACACAGTCGAATATCTTCACATTACCCATAAAATACAAATAAATATCTTTCTAGTATTTTCTGCTTTCATCCAAGATCCATTTGGTGTCAGCAATGACTTTCCTCATTCCATGTACTCTTCTGAATCCAGCTTGAATTTCTGGTAGTTCCCAGTCAATGTACAGCTGCAACAGTTTTTGTTTTGTTTTTTAATTTGTCAATTATTTAATGAGATTCTTTCTCTGCAAGAAATCTAGAATACTAACTGGTGAGCATAAATTCCATTTGTGAGAGCAAACACAGCACGCAGGTAACGTTGGAGCTGGAGAATGGCTTTGATTTTTGGCATAATTTGTGAGTCCACAGCTTTCTGATCCACTTTGCGCTGCTCTGTAACCTTGTATTTCTCTTTCTCAGTGTGGAAGATCTCGCCTTCTTGGTGCCTGGGCTTCCGCAGCTTCTTCTTCTTGAAATAAGCATCCGTGAAATGTTTGGGGATCTTCACACCACTGATATCAATTTTGGTGGAGGTGGTAATGACAAATTTCTGGTGTGTTCTATACAGAGGGACTTGATTGAGGGACAGAGGTCCAGTCACAAGGAGCAAACCACTGGCCAGCTGCTTCAGGAAAACCACTCTCTTGTCTCGATGGTGCCCATCGAGGATGATCAGAATGGTCCCAGGAGTGATGCTGGACCGCAGTCTTCTGACATGCTGACTCAAGGGTTTTTGCCATGGATCAACAGCTTCTGAGGCACGTCTTCAGTCAGGTAATACCTAGGCATTTTGCTCGGTTTAACCTCTCGGGTACCACCATTCTTGTCACTGGCAACTGACTTTGTGACAGTAGCAAGAACATTCTCTTCCTTCTTTTTTTCAATGCTGGATTTAGCAGTTGAGTAATTCCTCTTGTAAATGGCCTTTCTGGAATACATGGCCGATCAGGAATATCTGCCAATTCCTCCAACTAGAACAGGATTTCACTTGCAGTGCGGCTTCCCCTGCTTTGGGTTTTTGCTCTTGAGGTGAGCCTTCTTAGCTTGGCCACTGGCATCTGCTTTTATGACTTCAGGCTTCTTCTCCTTAGTAGCTGGATTCTTAGCCTTTTCGCCTACCATCTTGCAAGATGCGATAGAGTGCAACAGTTTTTAAATTATCATAAACTAAATTTTTACTTCAACTAAATTTTACAACAACAATCCCTCAGAAGTGAGCTGTTTATTCCTTCCTAATCTGTCTTGGTCTGAAAGATCCTGCTGGTATTTGAAATTCTGGTGGCATACCTTCCTGCATCACAGCAACATGCAAGTCACTATAATATGACAAATTGAAAAATGAATGGGCCCATCAACACTAATGAAACACCATTCCTCTTCAATTTGTCATTCCCAGTTTAGTAAACCATATGATTGTCCAATTCAAAGTGGCAAATGCCAGTCCATTTCAGCTCATGAATGGCTAGGATCCTATTATGGACATGATGTGGAGTACTGGTGGTGCTGTGGGTTAATGCCGGTTTGAACCACACACAAGGTCAGTGGTCCAAGCTCACCAGCTGCTCCTTGGAAACAGGGTAACTATGGGTCAGAACCAACTGATTGGCACTTAACAACAATGACATCACAATTAAACCTTTGGAATCCCAAAATTAGTCATCAGATTCTTCTGAGCAGAACTCTCTGCCTAGAATGTAACTGTTCTAATAGATTTTTCTCAGAAGCAAGTGTTTTGATTGGACTTTTTTTTTTTAAAGCCACCTTAATGAGTCTAAGGCAATTGTATCTCTGAGAGAACGTGTCTACAGTCATCAACTGATTACACAGACATGTTTAAACATATTTACTTGGAATAAATTTGAACATGTATGAACTAGAACAAATTTTTGACTTACCTTCATAGATGTTGCTGTTGTTAAGTGTCCTTGAGTTGGTTCAGATTCTCAGTGACCCTGTGTAGGGTTTGTGAGGAGCAGCTGGTGAGTTTGACCTGCTGACTTTGTAATTCAAACCAACAATGTGGTCCAGTGCGTTATCTTGCAGCTCCACACCAGTATTCTTACCTTTGTAAGGATCGAAACTTTACTTGACCAAACTTTAGCATGGCTTCAAAAATTATCCAAAAGCACCTAGGCCTCCGCTTATCTATAACATGACTAAACCCAGCTGCCAGGAAATATACAAGCAAAGACATCTCCCTTAAAGGTCATAACAATTAGGTTAGGCTGCCCTAAAACATCATTGGATATACCCCACACCTGCAAGAAACTGACAAATTGACCGCCAGAAACAAATCCGCGTAAAGGTCAGAATACTTACTTTTTGCCAAAACCAACCAGCTTAAAGGTTAATATGTTCACCAATTGCAAAATGCTTACGCACTGTTGCCGAAATCTGCCTTGTGTAACCCTATAAAAAGTAATGAAACAAACAGATAGGGGTCGCCTTCATCTGCTAGTTTCAGGAGTCCTTGTGAAGGTTGACTCCAACGCGTTGGCAAATAAACCTCTTGCGTTTGCATCAAACTTGAGTCCTGTTGATCTTTTTGGGGTCTCCTACCAGATAAGGCCATCTGGGGCCTAACACCTTCATATGTAGAAGGTGATAATATAATTTATCATCAAAAATCAGTATACTTTTGAGTATGGAAGAGACACAAAAGCCGCTAAATCATATGTGCGCATAGAATTCTCTTTCCGTGAACCAAGATTTGCTTCTTAAGTAATGCACTTCAAGTGCAGCCACCATCTGAGGATAAGTGAGATTTTTGTGTTGCTCTGATACTGAACAGGTTCCAAAGGAGCTTTCAGATTAAACAGACTAGGTAGGAAGGGCTGATAATTGATTTATAGAAATCAGTTAATATGGCCCTATCTTATTGTTCATTGTGCTACCATGACCAACTCAAAGACAGCTAACAACAGCAATACATATGTATGTACTCCTCACTTAGTGACTATCTTGTTATTGGACATTGTGCATTTAACAGAATAGTAGAAAATCTGCTGTTCTATTATTTTGTGCAGTAAGAGCACTCATCTGGAATTAACAAATGTTGAAGTGTGCAGTGAGTGTAATGCTGGCTGTGATGGCTAAGACAATGTATCAATTTGGCTGGACCATGATTCTCATGATGTAATTCAGCAGTTATGTAATGATGTAGTCATCCTCCATTGTGTAATTTGATATGGTCATCCTCCATGTTTACATAACACTAGTTTTCACATAAAGACCTGATCTCTGGAACTGAGTGAATAAGTGAGCAGTGGGTGTACACAGATTGGCAAATAGGTTTTGTTAAGTAGAACTACAAATGATTCTATTCTGATTACAAGGAGGCAGTCTTTTGTACAAGCTAAGCAGGCACAATTTTTCTCCATTCCTCTCCCTGCTGGTATTTTTAAGTCTCAGAACAAATCAGCCAGCCCCTTCTGAGGGCTGGTGTTTATTTAAAAGTTACAATTCTGGGCTAACCCCTTGGGAAGTCAGGAAGTCATGATTCAGTAGGATGTTTGTTAACAGGATTAAAAATGTTCAGTTAGTCACATAGACTGCATACAACAACTCTGAGAGTAAATTTTCTTTGTCTATTCAGTCATGATGCTAGTGGGACATATATAATATTTGTGTACAGCCCACCAAAGTTGACCTACCTATAAAAGGAAGACCAGTAAAAGGTAGACTCACATTGTGCCCCTTAGCTATGAAGTCAGGTGGAGGGCTGGTATGAGAGAATCTATAACCACTAGGAAAGTTTCCAGGAGCCAACGAGTGTCAGTGTGTCATACAACTGCCCCATTTAAGTCTTTGGATCACAACACAAAATGGGCTATGTATGGAAAAGCCATTACCTCTGCCTTAGAAGCTTTTAAGCCAGTGGGTCATTCATCTGTTGTATATTTTCTGTTTCTAATAGTAAGTAATAAAAGCTACCTTCCATGTCCTAATGTGTAGTCAGTCTCTGATTAGAAGGATGTAATATTTCTGGAGTAGTCCATATTAATTATCAACTCCTCTTTTCCAGTGGCCTCCTGGCACTCTAGAAATTGGTGACAACCTGAGAGTACATTGTAGATTTGCCATATAGCACCACAGATTTGATGTAGCATAGCAGAATCTAGAAATGTTTAACTCAGAAAACAGATTCTATTCTATTTTCAACAGTAAAGTTTAAAAAAAAAAAAAAAAAACATATCTGAATGTAATAAAGGCCATTACTAAATGGGTCAGGGGCACATTAGTCCTAAAATTGACGTTTTTGCTCTTGAATATTTTAAAGAGGTCATTTGCAGCAGATTTGCCTAATGCAATACAGCCCCTGATTTCTTGACTGCTGCTTCCATGAACATAGATTTTGGATCCAAGCAAATTGAACTTTTTGACAACTTCCATGTTTTTCATAGTAGATGTCTATGATACAATTATGTCATTGGTATTTTTTTCAGTATAGTCTTAATATTTGGACCTACAAATTCTCAGGCTTATTTTTATGGTTAATGAATTTGTGATTGTTAACACCACTAACTGTCTCTTCTCAGCAAGTAGACCATAATATTTTAAGTGATAAAATACTAGGAAAGGTACAGAGGTATAGGGTAGGTTCAGAGTAGACACTGCTAAATAATAGACTCAATATTATTTGTTGCTAAAATGTATAAAGTATTTTGAGGCTCCTGGGTGGTATAATCAGCTTGTTATCAAATACTAACCTAATGTTACATTGCATTAAAATATTTCAGCACCATTTTTTTCTACAGGTAATTTTTTGTTTTGTTTTTGTTTCTATTAAGGGTCTCTTTATCTGACAAAAATTTTCCATGACACAAAACATTTTAAATAACTTCTGTATTTATAATTCTTTTGAATAGTTTGTCAGTTTCAGATATTGCAAAATTAGAGGCCTCCTCAATTTCATTTAATTCTGGTAGTTTATTAGCTTATCTAATTAGAAATAGGAACACAAGGAAAAAAATTATTTCTTGCCAAAAGTTACAGTATTCCAAAACACAAATCATAAATCTTCAAATTAATTTTGTACACAGTTAAGCACTCATTATTTAACTTCTTTATTTCTCCTCTTGATTTTGTACAGATATTTTTTAATCTCTTCCTGTTTGTAAGTTTTGGGGTTTTGTTTGATAACTGCAACTTACGAAATGTTTCAAAAATTAACTTTTTTGTGCTCCATGAATTGAAAATGTGCATTACAAATTCCAATTATTCACAACAACAGCAACAACAAAAATGTAACCACGATTTAAAAATAGTTGCTCTCATTTTAGGATATGAATTGATTTAGAGAGTAGGTTCTCTATGGCTCACACTTCTCTAACATGTGCTTGAACTCATGCATCATAGAGGAAAAGTCCACACCACATCCCTAGAGCACTATGTTGTATTCAGCATCAGTTTGGGTACAAAAATTTGTCAATGTTTATGAATATTTTATGTCAGAACTAATCAGATATATGAATACTTCTATAATACTTTTTTTTTCTTCCCTCTTAATAATTTTTTTCTTTAATTTTTATTGTGGATTGAGTGTAAGTTTACAAGGCAGATCATCAGTTTTACATTCAACAAATCATACAACTTGTTTCATCACAATGATTACATTCCCCTCCATGTCCCATCAGTTAACAGTACTTCTCTCTATTCACTTTGTTGTTGTTGTTAGGTGCCATCGAGTCAGTATCAACTCATAGTGACCTTATGCACAGCAGAAGAAACACTGCCCGATCATGGGCCAATCTCACTACTGTTGCCATGCTTGATTGAGTCCATCGATACTGCTACTTGGCCAATCCATCTCATTGGGGGTCTTCCTCTTTTTCTCTGACCCTCCACCTTACCAAACATGATATCCTTCTTCAGCAACTGGTCCCTCCTGACAATATGTCTATTCGCTTGAGCTCTCTTTAAAAAAACAAACAAACACTCAAGCATATACAATAATTTATACCACCAAAGGGCACATTCTGCAAGTCTGCCTCCTGGCCATCCGCTCTTAGTCCCTCTCTTCCCATGAATCTAGAGTCCTCAGTTGCCCCCTCTCTCCATGTCCCCATCTCTGCCTCCATCTCTGGTGTCGCTGCTTCTCTGGATAAGGTCTCTCATTCCGC